CACCTCTCCGTGTACTTCGTATCTATCATTCAATCAATTCACTTTTCTCTTAAAACTATTTTAATGTTTCTTCGATTCTTCAATTTGTGAAATAACTTGAAAGTAAATTTGCCCAATAAATTAGTATCAGAGTCTGGTTCGATTCATAGCTTACATCCATGAAAAATGGGAGAAAACCATGATAGATGGTGCACACAGATAAAACTCATATTCATATTTCAAGATATGCTTGAAATCGTGAATGATGGTTTCTTGGTATTAGAGGAAAATGCTACTACGACGTAGAGAATTGTTCATCGTGAAATGAGAAAGAAGGATTGAAAAGGTCTCTTCTTGAACCATCAGTGTGTGAATTCAAACATCTTTGAGAAGATAATTAAGGAAGAAATTGCTAAGGGTGCATGGAATACACTTAAGAAGTTGTATAGAGGTGATGAGAAATTGAAGAAGGTTAAACTGCAACTTTGAGGAAACAATATGAGAAAATACAGATGAATGATAATGAAGCAATTGGTGAGTTCTTATCAATATTTTTGATGTTGATCAATCAAATGATTTCATGTGGAGAGAATATAACTAAAGTGCAAAAGGTTTAGAAGGTTCTAAGATATTTAACGACCAAATTCTATCATATAGCTGTGGCCATTGAAGAGTCTAAAGACCTATCTGAAATGAAGCTTGAAGAAATGAAAGCATCACTTGAAGCAAATGAATTGAGGTGTAAACAAAAAGATTCATAAAATAGTTGCAAAACAAGCACTGCTGGCCAAGTTCTTCAAGAAAATGAAAGAAGACTCTTCAAAGTTTAACAAAGGGAAAGAAAAGTGGAAGAAGAAGTGTCATGAGGATGGTGTTGGTAAGAATCCAAAGAGTCATGGAGAGGGAATCAAGAATGGTGTCTCTCATAACAAGAAGTTCAAGAAAAATTTAGATATGAAGGAAGTGTAATGTCATTGTTGTCAAAAGTTTGGTCATTATGCTAGAGATTGCTACTTCAACAAAGGAGTCAATGGTAATGACAAGAAAAAAGCACAGTTCACACATGTAAGAAGTTGTGACTCTTAGGAGGTAACTTTGAAGGCCAACACACACCTCACTCGAGACAAAGCCAATGTGTGGTATCTTGATATTGGCTACAGTAATCACATGACAGATAATAATAATTGGTTTATCAGGCTTGATGAATCAGTAATAAGATCTATTATATTTGTGAATAATAGCATGGTTACCTTAGAAGGGATGGGAAATATTCTTGTGAAGAGATAGGATAGAAAAGAAGCAATCATATGTGATATTTTGTATGTTCTTTCAATGGCTAGCCACATGATAAGTTTGGGCCAACTTCTTAACAAAAACTATACTATGAGGTTAGAAGATATGGAGCTTAAGGTTTTTAATACAATTTCTAAGATGATCTTGAAGGCACCTATGTAAAATAACAGAGCATTCAAGATTACCATTAACATGTTAGACCATCAATGTCTAGCATCAACCATTAATAAAGACCAAAATTGGACTTGGCATCAGAGATATGGTCATCTCAATTTTAGAAGTCTCAACTCGATGCATATGAACAAGATGATGTGTGGAATTCCCAAAATCAAGAGGCCAAAGAAGTTGTGTCAAGAGTGTTGCATTGCCAAACAGGAAATAAAGACATTCAAACATGACTTTCCTATGAAAACAAAGAAGAAGTTACAAATTATGCACTCAAATGTGTGTGGACCATTTGAGGAAAATTCACTAAGAGGTAACTATTATTTTGTAACATTTATAGATGAACTCACTAGATATATGCATATTACTTGATGGAGAAGAAAATTGAAGCATTCACTAACTTCAAAAGATTCAAACTGTTAATTGAGAAATATTCTAAATGTGGCATCAAGAAGCTTAGAAATGATGGTCGTGGTGAGTACACCTCAAGTGAATTTGATAAACTTTGTGGGAAAAAAGGTAATTAAGAATGAAGTTGTAGCATCCTACACACCTCAACGTAATGGAATTATTGAGAGAAAGAATAGGAGCGTCTTAAACATGGCAAGAAGTATACTTAAGGCAAAGCAAATACCAAACCATTTCTGGGGGGGGGGGGGGGGAGGCTACCTCACTTGCAGTCCACATCATTAATATATGTTCAACAAAGAAATCGAGAAAAAAGACACCATGTGAAGCTTGGTTCAGCTAAAACCCAAGTATTGCACACTTTAAAATTGTCCGCTTGTTGTATTATAGATATGTACTTAAGCAGCTCAGAAAAAACTAGATGATAGAGGTCAAGCCAAATTATAGCAGGGTGTTAATAAGCATAAATGTATAATTTGATGAAGGCAAATGATGGAATTACTTAAAAGGACCAAGAAATCTAATACAATAAAGTAAAAGTCCAAGCCACATCAACATCACTCTATAAGATAACCAAGAAAATGAGGTTGCAAAAACTCAGGAAATGGGAAGATCAGCAAAAGCAATAACTCAATCAATAAGATTAACTGATTATGAAAGATTCCCTAATCAACTCATAAGTGATAATGGTGACCTGATTGAAGAAGTCATGAAGGTTAAGAAATTAATCATAACCAAGCAATGAAAGATGAAAAATGGTAAGGTGACATGAAGGACGAGCTCAGATCAATTGATAAGAATAATTCTTAGTAATTAGTCAAGCACCTAGCTAAGAAAGCCATAAATGTAAGGTGGGTTTACAAATGGTGAAATTGTCAAGTACAAGGAGAGATTGGTGGCTAAAGGGTTTCTTCATAAGACTATAATTGACTTCAATAAAGTATATGCACTAGTGTCCAGACTTAAAACAATAATATTTGTGGTGTCCATTATAGCATATAGAGGTTGGAAAATGTATCAAGTGGATGTGAAGTCATCCTTTCTCAATGGACCATTAGAAGAAGAGGTTTATGTCAATCAACCACTAAGTTTTATGGTAAAAGGCCAATAAAAAATGGTATACAAGCTAAGAAAGTCATTGTATGGATTGAAGCAAGGTTTTAAAGCTAAGTTTTAATATGCGCTCATCTGAGCATGAAGTGTATATGAAATGACCAAATGAGGAAGACTACATTATCCTAAGTCTCTATATGGATGATCTATTGGTGATAAGTTCTAATGAGGTTGAATTGGAAAATTTAAAGGCCGACATGCATGGATAATGAGTTTTAAATTTAGCATACTTCCCAGGGATAAAAATTATGAACACAAAGCATGAAATTTTCTTACATCAGAAGAAATATGTAAAAGATATTTTGAAGAAGTTCAAAATGAGTAATTGCAATCCTGAAATTACACCAATGGAAATCAACATCAAAGTAAGGAAGAAATTATAGGATGAAATTGTATATGGAATATTGTACAAAGAGATAATTGACTCATTAAGATATTTATGCAATACAAGACCTGATATATATCATAGTGTGTGACTAGTCAGCAAGCTCATGGAGAAATCAAGGTATTTCCATTCGCTTGAAGTTAAGAGAATCTTAAGGTACATTAGAGGCACTAAATATCATGTAATATTCATGCCTCATCAATAGAGCATAAATATGGAGGCCAAAGCCTATGATTATTCTAACTCAATGTAGAGTGGAGATTAAGATGATAGGAAAATTTCAACAGGATATTTATTCATGATTGGAGCAACTCAGTTTTATGGAGCTCAATGAAGAAAGGAATTATGGCCTTTTCATCGTGTGATGTAGAGTATGTCGCAACCTCTGCTAGTCAAGTGGATTGAAATGTTATAGGATGAGTTGAATGTAAGTGATATTTTGAAGATCAAGTTCCTAGTGGACAGTAAATCAACAATTGATTTAGCAATTCATCCAATGATCCATGATAGGAGCAAACACATAAAGATGATATACCATTTATTAATAGACCAAATTGGCATTAAGTATTGCAAGACTAAGTTACAACTTATAAATATTCTAACCAAACCCTTAAGCAATCAATGTTTGAAGGACTCAAAGGGGGTATTAGGAATGAGAAGCTTAGGAAATCTAAATTAGAAAATAATTTTAGTGGTTGTTTCAAAGTATTGCATGTGTGACTTGTAACCCAAGCAAAATGTCATAACCTGACTGTTATAATTAGTTAGTTGGTTATGGTTTTTCCAACTATATAAGCACGCATCTCTCTCTCTCACTCTCTCAATCTCTCTCAGTCTCTCTCTATGTAATTTATATTCTGTATTCAATTAATTCATTTTTCTCTCAAAATTACTTTTATCTTTCTTTAATTTTTCAATTCGTAAAATAAACTTAAAAAATCTAACTTACCTAATATTGAGTATGCTAAAAGTTAAATTAACTTTGTATTAGTAGTTATTAATGCAAAGTTAGCAATTTGTAACCAAAAACTATGCATTGTTATCGAAATCAACTCCAACCGGCGAATCAATACAAAGACAAACCTCAACCTAACAAGCATTCCTAAGAGATAAAATAAATTCAACTAAAAGATAGACAACTACATTAGCATTACATTTAATATGACTCAAGATGATAGTGGATCAACTTTCAAGTCCAAAAGGAAAATTAAAAAAGTCGGTTTATTTGAGAATTTTTATCAGTATTAAGGAGGTGCAGTAGCAATTACCTCTAAATTTATTAAATGTTTTTGCATTATCTTTTAATATTCTAAAAGTAGTTTTGGTTCATTAAGCTTAGAAAATCCCATCTATTCAAAGTATATTATTTGATAAACTTTATCCTTAAAAATTAAAAGTAGACAAAGTTTGTATTCATTTTTTAAAATTATTTTTTAATTAATTAAAATTTTATGGTTATTATTTTAAAAGATAATTGTCTCTTAGCAATGACAATGGCCATCTCTAAATCAAATACAATATATTTCTTAAATAAACCATTACAAGAAACTCTTAATTTTTCACTCACCAACCTTCTATATAAGCATTTGATGAGCCTAAAGCTATAGCATCAAAAATATTGAATTCAAATTAAACAAAAGAAATAAAACAAAGAAATATGGAGTTTACTTTGAGGCAAGAGGCTTTAGTTAATAGCTCATGGGAAGCATTCAATCAAAATCTTCCTCTCTTCAGCGTTTTGTTCTACACCTTGTAAGTTTTACATCTCCAAATATATTTTTACATTTATATTTCTATTTTGTGAGTTTTTTTTTTCAAAATAAATGTTGTAAACATCTATATCTTTGATTGATTTTATTAAAATAGTATATTGGAGAAAGCACCTATAGCAAAAAACATGTTTTCTGTTCTAAAGGATGCCAATGAGATACCTTTGGCCAATCCTAGTATCAATGCTCATACTGAGATGGTTTTTGAAATGGTGAGTCCAATCCTAATAATATATGTTATACTTTTATTTATCATGTTAAATTTTATACATTTTAAATTTCCAATTAATTTATTGAGTTCACCTTATTTTTTACATACCAATATTTATATTCCTTTTTTAAATTGTAGGTGCGTGATGCAGCAGCTCAACTCCAAACAACTGGACAAGTAGTATTGGGAGATACTACATTAGGAGTTGTTCACACTCAAAAAAGGGTTGATGGCCTCCATTTTATGGTACAAAATAATATAAATAATACATTTTTTAAGTTAAATTTCTAAAGCTCTTTATTCTATAATGCAATAATATATATAATAAATAAACATCTTTGAATTTAATTATGTATATATATACACTAAAAATTATGAATTTATAAAAAAATTAAAATATTATATTTTTGAAACTAGAGATATTATTGTTTTGTAGGTTGTGAAAGAAGCATTGTTAAAAACAATAAAAGAAGCTGTTGGGGATAAATGGAGTGAGGAGTTAAGTAATGCTTGGGAAATTGCTTATGATGGATTGGCAGTTGCAATCATGAAGGAAATGAGTTGAACATTAGATCCATTACTTACTATAAGTAAGATCGATAAATAAAATTTATTTTCCTAAAATTTTAATTAAGTTTTTTAATAAATGTTGTTGAAACTAATTCGTTAAGAACCTTTGAGGTATATACCCTCAATATGTTTGTATAATAAGTTATTTTAAATTTGAATTTGAAGTTTTATTTCAATACTAAGAGTTTATATATTTGTACTCCGAGAGACATACTGTACTTTATATTTTTTCATGATAATTGTAATACAGTCACTAGTATGTCACTTTAATTAATTTTTATTCAATTTTTTTAATAATCATTTGCAGCACCCCAAAATATATTAATGAAAAATCAAGGATAGACATATACCCAACCCATAAAAGAAATAACTCAGTGAAAATATTAATAAATTAAATCTATTATGAAAAAAATCTTCCCGAATAAATTATGACACTGCTCAAAAACTTCTATGTTTGTATGTGAGTGTGAGTCTCTTTATCTAGATCTAGGACTTAAATAGTATTTTTAGCAATGTTTTTGTTGCACATGTAGTTTTTTTATGTATGTATCCCTCCTCCGTTGTGCATTTAAACCGGTTTATCTAATCCATAATCATAAATTTAGTTATCAAATTAAAAAAATTCAAATCACATTTGTTATTAACTGATCCAATCCATTTTAAAAAAACCAATAACATTTAGTTAGTTATTTATGAAATCCGGTTATAATCCAATTCACTTAAAATTTGCAAAAGATCTTTTCTCTTATCTTCCACAAAGACAAAATCATTATAAGTGACCCTGCTCACGATATTCGTGAAACTGGAATTCAAGCTAGTATATACCAAAATAATATTGAAAAATCTCTATTTTAGATCCTAACATTAAATATTCTACAATAAATATTATTCTCTCTCAGTTGTAAAACATAAACTCTTAGGTGTATTTCAAATATATTTAAAATATCTTATATGTATGTTTAAAATGAATTTTTACTTTTTATATTTCAAAACACTCTATAATATTAATTAAGAGTAACAATTTTTTTATGTTAATATTTATCGAAAAGGCACAGTTCTAGACATTTTTCATTTCATTGTGTTAGTAAACAATTAAGAGAGAGAATATTATTAAAAAATAAATAAAGCAGTACTCATAAATCTATAACATAACAAAATAAAACGGTTATGATGTTTGAAGGAGCCATGCAATGTTTATTATTACAATATATATCAAAATTTCAAAATCGATTAACGCAAAAATATTGATCAAAGCAATAAAGAAAAACTGATATATTGATATAGACCGGGTGAAATAAAAAAGTGGTTTTTAATAAAAATTGAATTTAAGCCAAATTGATCCAAATATAAACTGATTTTGAATAAATAAATTAATTTTATAAAAACAATTTCAAGAACCAAACCAAACTATATATATATGGTCCAATTCGGTTTGGTTTATGAACCACGCACACCCTTATCCATAGTCTATATCACCTTGCATATATTTTGGATAACATTACATGCATAATACTTTTTTTTCAACCTTCCAGTCAAATGAATCTAATCATAATGTTGGTTTCAAAAGGAAAACTTCCTATTTAATTGAATCAATTCAAAGACTTTTGAATCGAATCATTTGAATTGCATCACAAGATATTTGAATATATTCATTAGTGTAGGTTTGTATTAACTTTGTTCAATTTTCATTAAAATTAAATCAATATCATCGTATTTGATTGACGCTCGACAAAACTCATATTTCATTTTTCTAATAAAGATTTAAATTAATAAAAGTTAGATTTGAATCTTTCTCTCATTTTGCATTGTTTTTCATTAATTATTTATTTTCATATTAAATTATTTTGCAGGCCATTTAAATTATATTTGTAATTATGTTATTAATTTTTTAATATAAAAGATAATAAATTAGAAAAAAAATTACTTTTTGGTCAATAATATGTGAGACTAAATTATACATATTTATATTATATTTATTTATATAGATAGATTATCGAGATCTTTATTTATATAAAAAATTATCAAAATTTAATTTATAATATATTGAGGCAATATATAACTTATGTGTTGTATGAGTTTTATTATAATATATTTATATGAATTTTTTTGTTCAATGAGAAAATATAAATAAAAGTTGATAATATTAATGTATGATCATATAAAAATGTTTTTCTCATTTATTAGATTTCTTTTTTATCTTTTTTTATTATTCTGATTTTACGTTTTCCAAATATTATATTCCCATCATTACTTTAATTATATTTCAAAGAAAATAATAATAATTATATATCATAGAAACACAAAAGAATATAAATTAAGAGATAATTTACATGATCGAATTGAATTGCTTACAAATTATTTTAGTAGTTTTTATAATATGTAATATAATTTTCGAGTCATCCACTTTAATATTAATTGTATACCTTAATTAAATGTATGCAATCATATTATCAATTTGATCAAAGTATTTTTACATAGAAATATCATAAATAAATAAAATATAATCTCAATTAAAATACCAATAAAATAAGAAAAAGTATTTTTTTTTTAAACTCAAGCTTAGACATTTTAATAGAGAGATATGGATATTTCAGAGGTGACATGGGTAAGATCATACAAAATCATAAGATAAATTTTTTATTAACTATTTATTTTATTTTTTAAAATAATAATTTTATTAACATTTTAAAATTAATTAAATACATATTTTAATAATAAAATAATTCATTTTTATCATTCTCATGATATCAAGTGAATCTCAAATACCTTATTCTCGATAAAATATTGACAAATACGATATTTCTTGTATTATTAGATTCTTCTCACACTGTCATTTTTGTTTATTGAATATCTTTAATAATTAATTAAATAAACTTAAATCAAATACACATTTATATCAAAGATTGCTGTTAAAAATATACTTACATGAGCTACAAATTTTCTCATGATTTTCAAGTAATAAGGATGCAAAAGTTGAAATAATAGGAGTTTTTTTTATCCTCTTCTTTTCATTCACATAACAATAAAAAGAAGAGAAAATCATAAAAGTAGATTACGAAATAGGTAAAATATCTATTTTAGTCTCTTAATTATATTCTTAGATTCATATTGGTCTCTTAACTCTTTTTCGTGTCGTTTTGATCTCTTAACTTTCAAAAAGATTTATTTTAGTCATTTTTGTCTAACTAGCGACGAAAAAACTTTAAAATCCGTCGCTAATTAGACAAAAAGAACTAAAATGAAATGTTTTGAAAGTTAATGGACCAAAATGAGATGAAAAAATATTAAAGAACCAATATGAATCCAAGAATCTAATTAAGGGATCAAAATGAATATTTTTCCTAACGAAATATTATATTGATGCTAAAAAAAAATTATTACAAAACACCATAGATACAATATTTAAATAATTGATAGGATAAATTAAGTTGAATCATTAACCTATAACATAAATCAAAGTCATTAGCCGACAATATAAATTAAAAAATAGTTAAAACATAAGTGAGAGCTCAGGAAAAGTAATCTAAATATCAATACAAAAGAAAAAGTAGATCTTATTTCTATATGGATTGAGTGGTAGATGTAATCTATTTATATTGAATAAAAGTTTTCATATTGAAAAAATTGAAAAGATTAAAAAAAATTATTATTATGATTAACATCACAAATTATAATTTACACAATAAAAATATTTAATGGGGTACCATTTTATTTTCGATATAATTTACTATAGAAGTTATACTCAATAGTTATAAGTTAATATCAATATCAATATAAATGTAGTTTAATATTTTTAAAACAATAAATTTTACGTAAATAGTAATATTTTTAAAATAACTAACAATAATAATAAAATAATACAAAATATTACTATGTAATTATTATTAATATTTTATTTATTTAGAAATTAAAAGATCATATTTATTGTAAGAAAAAAATATCAATTTTTTGAAAAGAGACAGTTGTATTCACTCTAATTAATTTTTAGTATTGATTAGTTATATAAAATAAAAAATTAATCAAAATATTTTTAATATTATTTTTTATTAATTATTAAATTCATAATACAATAAGAGTATATCAATCTAAATTTCAATTATTCATTTAGTATTTAATCTATAATTTAAAATTTTAAGAATTTTTTTTATTCAATGTCAAGTTCAAAAAAAAGTTTGAAATCATATATTCTCTAGACTTTTTTTTTTCTTTTTTAAAACCATATTATATCTTACCATATTAAAATTTATAATTACAAAAAAATTATAATTTAATATTAAAGATAATAATTAAAAGAGAATAATTAAAAAAATAATTAAAAGAGCATAATTTTTTTACATTGTAAAGGAATTTAATACATTAAAAATGTAAAATGGAATATAAATTATAAAAAAATTATGACATATTTATTTGACAGTTTTTTTTAAGTAAAATTTATTTGATTTTTTTTTTGAATCAAAAAGAAAAAACTTTTATAGATAGATTCAAAAACAATACAGCTCAAGCGATCAAAACGATCCAACAAAAATAAACAAAACAAAAGCCAACAAACCCCGAAACCTAAGGTATCAAAAGCTTTCCAATGTGTTGCCTAAGTTTAGGATGAGTCCAACATCTATAAATAATACAATTCACTATGTCATTGCCAATATTACGATTCCTATTTCCTGCATTCTCAGCAAAACAGATAGAATTCCTGAAGTTCCAAGCTGCATATATAATTTCAGAAAAACACACTTTAACAAGTTGGTTTTCCAACTTTTCCTCTTACAATGCCCAATAATCCAATTAAGTTCATCAACCCATCCATGTGGACTATGAATAATCTGAAGCCAATTGAGAGCCTCAATTCAAATATCTCTCATAACATGGCACTCAAAGAAAAGGTGTTGAAGAGACTCAGGCTTCCTGCAAAAACAACACTTCATACTGCTAAGCATGCCAAATCTGGCCAACCTCTCTTTGGTAGGTAAACTATTGTGATAAGTCCTCCAAATA